GTGCAACTCCCAGATACCGTAGGAATGCTTTGGGTGTACCAAACGTCACAACGTAACTGGGTGGCTATAAAGGTGCACTACAGGTATCTCCGAAAGTGTTTGTTGGGTTGGCACGAATCAAGACTGGGATTTGTCACTCCGTATGACGGAGAGGTATCTCTGGGCCCACTCGGTATTGCATCATCATAATGAGCTCAAATGTGACTAAGTAGTTAGTCACGGGGTCATGCATTACGGAACGAGTAAAGTGACTTGCCGGTAACGAGATTGAACGAGGTATTGGGATACCGACGATCGAACCTCGGGCAAGTAACGTACCGATTGACAAAGGGAATTGCATATGGGATTGCTTGAATCCCCGACATCGTGGTTCATCCCATGAGATCATCGTGGAACATGTGGGAGCCAACATGGGTATCCAGATCCCGCTATTGGTTATTGGCCGGAGAGATGTCTCGGTCATGTCTGCATGATTCCCGAACCCGTAGGGTCTACACACTTAAGGTTCGGTGACGCTAGAGTTGTATGGGAATTAGTATGTGGTTACCAAATGTTGTTCGGAGTCCCGGATGAGACCCCGGACGTCACGAGGAGTTCCGGAATGGTCCAGAGGTGAAGATTTATATATGGGAAGTCCAGTTTCGGTCACCGGAATGGTTTCGGGGGTTATTAGTATTGTACCGGGACCACCGAAAGGTGTCCAGAGGTCCACCGGGTGGGGCCACCTGCCCCGGGGGGCTTAATGGGCTGAATATGGGAGGGAACCAGCCCCTAGTGGGCTGGTGCGCCCCTCCCCAAGGGCCCAAGCCGCCTAGGGTTGGAAACCCTAGGGGAGGGGGGCGCCTCCACCTTGCTTGGGGGGCAAGTCTCCCCCTCCTGGCCGCCGCCCCCCCTCTAGATGGGATCTAGAGGGGCCAGCCCCCTCTCCCCTTCACTCTATAAATAGAGAGTGGGTGGGAGGGCTGCAACACCCTTGCTTTTGGCACAGCCCCTTCCTCCTCCAACTCTTCCTCCTACTCCGTAGTGCTTGGCGAAGCCCTGCAGGAATACCACGAGCTCCACCACCACCGTGCCGATGTGCTGTCGGAGTTCTCCCTCAACTTCTCCTCTCCCCTTGCTGGGTCAAGAAGGAGGAGACGTCCCTGGGCTGTATGTGTGTTGAACACGGAGGCGCCATCCGTTTGGTGCTAGATCGGATCTTCCGCGATTTGAATCGCCGCAAGTACAACTCCATCAACCGCGTTCTTGTAACGCTTCCGCTTAGCGATCTTCAAGGGTATGAAGATGCACTCCCTCTCTCTCTTGTTGCTAGAATCTCCATAGATTGATCTTGGTGATGCGTAGCAAAATTTTGAATTTCTGCTACGTTCCCCAACAAGCACGACCAATGGTACTTATGAGGCCTCTCACACTGACACCACTGGTTCTTGAGGTCCACCTTATACGCAACACCGCCGTAAGCCACACCGTCTCGTGTTGTGCCACCTGGCTCGTCCACTTGGTAGATCATTTCTTTGTCGTTGAATCTAATGATTTGTTGATGCAAGGACTCCCCTGCTTGAAACCTCAACCAATCATCAACCTTGTCGGGATACTCTTTTTTCTCACCTATCCATTTGGCGGTGGTTTCGGAATGCCTAAGAAAATACTCGTTTAGCTTGAAGAAGGCGTATTTCAGTATTGCAGTCACACGGCAAAGAACGGACGCCCTTAAGCACATTGTTGAAGCATTCAACCATGTTGCTCATCATGTCACCGTATCTCCAACCTCCTTCATCGTAAGCGCGTGACCACTTATGCTTCTCCCCATAATTCCTTTCCAAGAATGCTCTTCCACCTTTGTTCTTTGCCAAAGCCTTGAAGAGTTTATCATACCGAATTTTGAATGCATCGATGGTGAATGCCACACAAACATGTGTAAGGTCTTTGCAAAACTCCTTGCTCTTGCATGCCCGGTAAAAGTTCACCACGAAATGCCTCATGCACCATCGGTGATGAAGCATTGGAAGCCCAGGAATGACAACTTCTATGGATTTGAGAATGCCATGGTGTCGGTCCGATATAATGCATACCTACCTCTTCCCAATCACCTTGGTCCTCACATGCCCCATGAACCACTCCCAATTGTCATCATGCTCGGAAGGAACTAAAGCAAAGGCCACCGGCAACACGTTATCATTGGACGAATGAGCCATTGCCACCATTAGTGTGCCCTTGTATTTGCCGGTCAAGAAAGTGCCATCTATAGACAACAGCGGACGACAATGCTTAAATGCCTCGATGCATTGCCCAAAACTCCAGAAGGCACGATGAAACACTCCGTCAATGTCCTCAATCCCATGACGCATGCCTGAGTTCTTATGTGCAATGGCTCCCAACATCCTCGGAAGAATATTGTATGCGGCCGCATAATCAACATGCAACATCCTAGTAGCATTTGACTTGGCCTTCCATACCTTCCCGTAGTTGACCTTGTATCCGTACATTTTTTCAACAATACTCATCAGAAACTTCACCTTCACGGTTGGGTCATGGGATATCTCATTCAATAATTTGTAGCCAAGAAACTCTGAAGTGAGTTGACGGTGGCCCTTGCTTCGATCAGCTTTGTCTGGAGGTATGCACTCGTGAGTAGCTACACAACTTTTCAACTCCCATTGCCCCATTTCTTGAATTTTTCTTCCACGAACCTTCCATTTACAACCTTATTTGTCACACTTCACGGTGTACCACACCTCTTGGTTCGAATGACCAACAACAAATGGCCTATGGTTCCGAATGGCATAGTCACTCAACCACATCTTAAACTCTTGGAAGCACCCAAACTTGATGCCTTTTTTCAAATGAGCATTCTCGTCCTCACCCTTTGGCCTTGGATCGCTGACTCTCGGGCACGATGTTGGTTCAACCAACCCCAGTATCATGCCACCATCAACAATGGCATGGTCGGCAAGGCTAAGATCACGAAACAATGGGGGTCCTCTTTCCTTGTCGTGCACCTCCTTGAAGAATTGTTTTTCTTGCACCGTGAATCCATCTTCGTCCAAATCTTCCTCAGGACCCTCGTCATCTGAGCCATAACCACACATACGGTTATAAGGGAGGCTATGATCCATGTCTTGTTGATGGACAATGCATCCAAGTTACCTATTGGATTGTAATGAATTTTTTCTTCTTCCGCATAAGCATCATCATCATCAACATGAGCCATAGCTAGAATCTTTGGGTCTTGAATTACTGTGGATCTATCATTCATCTCCTCTTCATTTGATTGACTACTTGGTGGTTGACTATAAGAATTGGGCACATACACCTCAACCCTAGCATCATGTATTGGGGAGGAGGCATGCCGGTTCAAGTCAATTTGTAGCAGAGGAGCATCAGTCTTGGTGGCAAATAATTCAAGTGAGTTGTCTTGTGATTGCTCCACTTTACCCTTGTACATCTTCCAATGCAATTCCGAGGTGATAGACATACTTTTCAACCGACTTCACCCCCACTCCAACATCATACCTTCCAATAAGTTTAACCTCATCACTTGGGTCCATCCAATGTACATACTTCTAACTTTCACAACTACGTCCTCATAGGTTGGGCTATACTCAAATACCATGTGTTCTTCCCCTTGATCGTCATTGCCATTCATAAATGTCTTCTTATCCAAATAATGGAGATTCACGATACTACCCATCTAAATAAATTTTAGAAAATGTTAATGATAGGCGGCAACATAATATGGGACAATATCCATTGTGCATCCCATGGATCGATAAAAGTTCTATGCAATACATTTAAGCAACAAAACAAATAACAACAAAAGAACAAAATATCATGGCTTAACCCTAACAACTAAATAATGACTTTGCTTACCACTAACCCTAACCCTAGAATTAACCAAAACAATAACCATAGATCTAGCTACAAACAACGAAGTTAGCACACTACACATGGTCAATCACACATATACAACCCTAGATCTAGATCTACCATCCATCAAATCCATTGATTTCACACAAAAAGGAGCACAACCAGGGTTTGCATAAAAGGAATCAATGTCATCAAATAAGTTGATTCCAACCAACCAAAAAGAAGAGAGTGGGTTAGGTACCTTTAGTGATGAAAATGACCTCAATCCACCGGAGAAAACTCGAGCAATGGAGATGAATTTGATGGAGCTCTAGGATGGGGGAGAGGGCTCAGCTCGGGGAAGAAAGGATTTGGGGGCGAATGGGTGGCTTGTGAGGCCCACCAAATCCCCAGTTGTTGGTTTTGTGCATTCTGCACCCTACCGCCACCCTCTCTGGCGGTAGGGAGCGACGCCCTATCGCCACGATCTGTGGCGGTAGCCACTTACCCACGTCAGCACGACAGACGGCACCGTCGACATCGACCCGGTCCCTACCGCCAGCACCCGTGGCTGTAGCATGTTCTAGCCTACCGCCAGCTCGGGTGGCGGTAGGAAAAGGGTCAGATCTAAATTTTTTTACGGATAGGGGTCAGATGCAGCTAAACGTGCATAAAAGGGTCAAAACAGTGAATTTGGCCGCCGCATCCCACCTAGGCGTGCGTGAATGTGACGGCGTGGTCCAGTGCCGCATCCCACCGAACCAGCGAGCGAGCGAGCGAGCGACTGCCCCCTGCACCGGAAGCCTGATTCGCCAAGCAGAGGGGGATGGGGACGGGGAGGGATCGTGGGATATTCCTACTCCTGGGCATACCAGCGTGGGTCGTGGACTCGTG